GGAAGGAAAGGAAAGCTCTCAGCGCTGGACCGGGAGTCGGCAGTAATAGCTATCCGGTCAGGAGGAAAGGCAAAAAAGGCCCTTTCAACGCGGCGGTAGAGAGAGAACTGGCGGGATGTCTGCGCCCGTCCCTCTGGGCATGCGCGCTGGGGTTCCTGCGCATGCTCAGTGGGACCCGGCTGCATCAGCTGCTCGCTGGGGACACAGGAAGGAAAGGAAAGCTCTCAGCGCTGGAACGGGAGTCGGCACGGAAACCCCACCACCACCCACAAAGCTCAGGGAATATTCAATTCTACCTGAATAACTCAACAGCTGTGTGGACAACAAGGCAGCAGTGTCGAAAGAGTGAGATAATGGGTTTGAATCCTCACTCTGCCACAACACTCAACGGGGTGGCAATGCAACAGCCAGAAGAAGAGGAGGAGATTGGATTTATACCCTGCCCTTCACTCCCCAAAAGAGTCTCAGAGCAGCTTACAATCTCCTTTCTCTTCCCCCTCCCCACAACAGACACCCTGTGAGGTAGGCGGGGCTGAGAGAGCTCTCTCGAGGACTGCCCTTCAGAGAACAGCTCTGAGAGAACATGTGACTGACCCAAGGTCACTCCAGCAGCAGCATGTGGAGGAGGAGTGGGGAATCAAACCCGGTTCTCCCAGATTAGAGTCCGCGCTCCTAACCAAACTGGCTCTCGGTTTTAGTCCGAGACGTTTCCCATGGCAGATTAAAAGATGCAACCCCAGCGAGAGAGAACAACACACAAAAGGGGTAGCCGTATTGGTCTGCAGTACAAGAGCTAGACTGAAGTGCGGCAGCCCCTTCGAGGCTAAGAAGATTTCCGGGACGCCAGTGTTCGAGAGTCCAAACCCCCTTTGGCTGATCTGACGAAAGGAGCTTTGACTCTCCAATGCTCACCCCCCTAAAATAGTGATGGCGAACCTTTTAGAGACCGAGTGCCCAAACTGCGACCCAAAACCCACTTATGTATCGCAAAGTGCCAACACGGCAATTGAACCTGAATACTGAGGTTTTACTTTAGAAAAAAACAACTCATACATTAACTTAAGATGATCCAAACGAAGTAAGGAACGCAATCCCAAATGCTTTCATTGACTTAAAATTATTTGGCAGAGAATTCGACATTTTAATGATGGTCCGGGCCTGGCTGGGGCGATGGCACGCGTGCCCACAGAGAGGGCTCTGAGTGCCACCTCTGGCCCCCGTGCCATAGGTTCACCAACACTGTCCTAAAGTCTTGTTGAGCTCTAAGGGGCTGCGGGACTCAACTCTAGCTATACAAAATACAGACAGCGCACACCATGTGCGGAGAAGAATACTGCTCTCCTGCCCCATCTTCTGCCCAACCTGATTCTCCCCATCCATCCCTAACCCACAGCCCTGAGGATGTTGAGCCAGGGACTCACAATACGTCCACTGCCAAACCAGAGCAACAGACACCATGCCTTGGAATCAGCTTGGTGTCTCCAGAGCACTGTTACCGTCAATTATTATAAACTGTTTCACTTGAAAGCCCTTGGTGCCTGGGGAGCCACAGTGGTGGTGGTGGTGGGGGACTTCTGGAGTTCTGGCCCCACCGGCGGACCTCCTGATGGCACCTGGGTTTGGGGCACTGGGTGACAGAGTGTTGGGCTGGATGGGCCATTGGCCTGATCCAACATTGGCTTCTCTTATGTCTCGGGCAGTGATGTGGTGTATTCTCGGTGCTCTGGGGGCCACAGTGGGAGGGTGTCTGGAGTTCTGGCCCCACCAGCGGACCTCCTGATGACACCCGGATTTTGGCCACTGGGTGACAGGGCATTGGACTGGATGGGCCATTGGCCTGGTCCAATATTGGCTTCTCTTATGTCTGGGGCAGTGATGCTCTGTATTGTTGGAGGTTGGGGGGCAATAGTGGGAGGGCTTCCGGAATTCTGGCTTGGCTGGTGGACCTCCTGATGGCACCTGGGTTTTGACCAATGCTCCCTCTAAGCTGTGGAGTCCGGTGAGCAAAAATTCAACTTTCTGAGCTCCTGGCATAAAAGTTGGGAGCGGGAGATTTGGCTTCTGCATAAATGAGTTTGCTCTGGAGCCCTCCTCCCTGAGCTGAGACAAAAATGCGTGAGCCAGAGGCTAAAAACTGTGAGCTAGCTCACACTAACTCAGCTTAGAGGGAACACTGGTTTTGACTCCTGTGTGACACAGAGCGTTGGACTTGATGGGCCACTGGCTTGATCCAACAGGGCTCCGTTTATGTTCTTACGGGGACAGAAACACCTTTGGGAAAGCTGCCCTACAGTCAGTGGCAATACATGCGGTGTAAGTCCAATAAGAGGAAGAACAATCTTACTAGGACATGTCAAGGAGCTGATCCAGGTCCACACCTCGATAGGTGAACTTCCTGAACGTGCGCTTCTTCTTCTGCTCCACTTCCGCCTGCCGAGGACAAATGAAAGCAAAAATAAGCTCAGACAGGCCTGGCTTCGCTCTCTGTGTCCCAAGTCAGACATTTCCCACCTATTCAGAAACTGCCATTTGGGCAGGGAAGGAGCCAGTGCAGCGTAGCCGGTGAACCCGGGGACAAGCCAGGATGCCTGCGGGGGGGCTTCTCTCAAGCTAACCTGCCTAGCAGGGTCATTGGGAGGAGAAAAACCGGCAAAAGGAAAATTAGACAGGCAACCCAGCACCTTAGAAGAACGCGAAGACAAAAGTGAGATCATTCAACCCAATTAGCCCCCGCCCACCCAGGACAAATGGGGGGACACAGGCGGAAAAACTGGTGTGGTCTGACTTCGGACGTATTCTATTTTTCTTTTTATTACAAGCAGCAGAACTGTAAATAAATAAAAAATTCCCAGTGAAAGGTCTCCTTTAAAAACAAAATTAAGCCGCTCAGTCCCTCCCCCACATACATGTCTGGGTTTGGGGGGAAAGAGACCTACAGAAACACACACACACACACCCGATCAACAATCTCATGCCCAAAGAGCACCCTAGTGGGTGAGGCCCAGGGTCCCTACTGCCCGGCATGGGACATCCCACAACAGCCAACTAAATGCCCTTTGGAAACACACAGAGCGCTGCCCTTCAACCAGTTTCTACTACCCAGCATGCGACATCCCACAACAGCCAACTAAATGCCCTTTGGAAACACACAGAGCGCTGCCCTTCAACCAGTTTCAGAGGTACGCTACCTCTGAACATGGAAGTTCCATTTCTCCTCGTGTAAGTTAGGCCAAGCCCCTTTGATGGCCGTGGCTTAGGGATGCCAGGTTTCCTCTGGCCACCGGCAGGGGATGCAAGGGAAGGGTCGCCAGACCCAGGTCGGGAAACTCCTGGAGATTTGGGGATGGAGCCTGGGGAGGACAGGGACCTCAGTGGGGTACAAGGCCATAAAGTTCATCCTCCCAAACATCCAATTTCTCCAGGGGAACTGATCTCTGGAGTCTGGAGATGAGCTGGAATTCCTGGGGATCTCCAGGTCCCACCTGGAGGCTGGCATCCCTAGGCGTGACCACATCCCGTGGCAACTCGGCCCGCGACTTAATTACGCCTCGTGCGAAAGAATGCACGTGTAGAATCCCTCAAAGCGCCCCCCCCCCGGCCTGTTCTCGCTCTCCCCCTCCCCGTTAATCCCCACTGTTTCCCCGTCATTTTGTTAACGACCCCGCCTCCAAAGACATGAATCCAATCCTCTCCCTGCGCCTTCTTCACAAACCACGCAACCCCCAGCTCGCATTTCAGCCCTTTCAGGCCGGATGGATCCCGATTACGGCGCCCAAAGGAAACAACACAGAAACTGCACCCACCATCTTTGTCGCAGGCCTTGCCGGAAAAAGACCGAATCCCGGCCGATATCGCGAGAACTGCTCCCCACCTTTTTAAAAAAAACAAAGGAAGTGTATGGAAAAAAGATCACGCCCACCGCCAGCTTCAGCGCGCCCAACTTCCGCCCATAACTGCTTTTTGTGCTCACTGGCGCCACCTAGGCTGCTTGAAGGTAACGCAGCCAGGAAGCGCGGGCAGAAAAGACCAAGAGTGCAGAAGCGCCACAAAGAATAACCAAATTTGTAGCGGGGTAGGAGCTTTTGTGAGTAACTGCTCACTTCTTCAGATTGTAGCAGTAGAAGAGAGTAAGAGCCCAGGAGCGCCTTAAAGACTAACAAAATATGTGGCCGGGTATGAGCTTTCATCAGTCACTGCTCACTTCTTCAGATAGATCAAGATGGGTGGCCGTGTTAGTCTGTCC